GAGCATCTTGAAGAATAGCATGCATCTGATATCATTACGTATTTCTCTTAGTGTATGTCTAAAAGTGGGATCTATTGATTTGACACTATTTGATAACAACCTTACTAATGAATTAAGACCAATATTGAAATATCTGCTAATAGTTTCGGTTGGGTGTTGAAATCATTCGAAAACTGATGTTTCCCATGGACGATTCATGCCAACCATGAGTTTTTTTTTTAATCCAGCAAGCCATAAAAAAAAATTTTGGACATTCAGAAAATGTTATGAATTCTATATGGACGACCTTCAAGGAGCTCAACAATTCATTTGTCACCTACAGAGGAGGGTGTCATGCACTGGATCTTACATAAGTTTGGTAGTGTTCATTGATGAGGCATGTTGTAATTGCTAAAATTGTTATTCGGTGTACTGTCTCTGTTGTTTTATTTTCATTTGATGGATCTGTCAGAATACTTCATGCATGCCAAAAATAGAAAACAAATCAAGAATTTGACAAAAACTAATTTGAGAGAAGGTTGCTTCGAACTGAATTAAAATATTGTGATATAATAGAAAAATAAATAGAACTCTTAACAATAACATATAAAGCATAAATGTGATAAACACACAAATATAGATAGTTCAAGTAGATGTTTAACTTAATACAAACATAACAAAATCACAAATTATTACTCCAAGTTCAGCTAGATTGGGTGTTAAAGAAATAACAAAGGTAATGAATCAACTGTTTCAACACCATTGTTATAAAAGCCTTCCGTTTTGTTGGGTCTTCAAAAAGTTATGTGGAAAAAAAGTATAATGACGTCCTCAAAGATTTCGGGAGCACAGGACAGTAGCTTAATGGCTTTTGTCATCAAATGGTATGTGTGCGATGTGTAAGCATTGGATGTCATACTAGTACAACTTATAACTAATTGTGATATTTATTTACTTAAAAAATTGTCAAAGGTCTTTTTTTCTTTTTGTTTTTAGATCGTTAGCTTTGTGGTGCACAACATTTGGATTGATTGTATTTAGCGTGTTCTACCTCTTGGACCGGTCACTTGTTAATTTCATTTGTATGAGCATTTTCCAGCTCATCGAAATTTTGAGTGTCTTGTGTTGTAGCCCAGATATTAGATTCCGTAGCTACAACATCGATAAATATCAAATCAAGTTTCTCTTCTAACTCAGGGTCTATTTCATAATACCTAAGTTTTTGTGTTTGACACAACACATTTGAAAACGACATTATTGAAATAATATGAAAATATGGACAATTCATTATAACAACATTATCTACTTACCAAAAGTTTCTCTTTCCATCATTCTTCGGATGAATTTTTTATTTTCTTAATAGGATCCCAACTTAATCTAGTTGATCCTCGTTTAATTCTTACCAGAGTTTTAATCTTTTCTTAGCTTTTATCATTTGTTCTTTAATTGAGCTTTATCATATATTCTTCTTATTCTTCTTATTTTTTCATGGAAATTTTTTGTTATATTTTATCATCCTTCTTTATTGAAATGGTTTGTGGGTTTGTTGCCTTATTCAATCTTATTTAAGCATAAATCACAAAAATATAATATTGACCTCCTTCTCTCAAGTGATCGATGTACCATCATCTTTTTTGTTTTCCCGTCTTGTGAGCTACAAAAAATTGAATTGATATTGTAATAAAGGTGGTCAATGTAAACTAAACTTTTGAAATATAAACACATGATGGTAAAAAAATAAAAAAATGAAATAATAAATTTTTTTTTAAAATTAATATTATAAATAAAAATCAATTAAAAAATGTGTATAAAAAATTAAAACGGCCAAGAAAGCAAAATAGAGTTTAGTGAGATCGTTTTGTCAAAGATTGCCCCATCCAGGTTCACCATCTACATTCGGTTGCCAGTCAGGATATTAGGAATATTAGGTGACATATAAGCCAGAGTATATCTTGTAGGTTTAGATACATTGGTATAAGATAATATGTTTAAGAGCGCGATCATATAATATATGAGTATCATATTGGTTGTAGAATATGCAAACTAGTAAACAGTATTCCTGGGGACAAGATCAGGTAGTATCTAATGTTGATTGTGTTATGTAGGCTTGGTAATATGTTTAAGAGCGCGATCATATAATATATGAGTATCATATTGGTTGTAGAATATGCAAACTAGTAAACAGTATTCCTTGGGACAAGATCAGGTAGTATCTAATGTTGATTGTGTTATGTAGGCTTGGATATATAAAATAGAAGAAAATATGACACATTCCTAAGCATATTATCTGAGATGGGGTAGCAACAAAGATGAATCACAGTTGGTAATCGGTTGACGACAAAACCAAAGGAATCTACTGGCGACAAATGACTAAAGACAACTAGATGACACCCATGTTAATCGGTTGAGCTCTTTGTAAATATTTTTTTCACTTCATAGCTCTACATAACTTTATACCTTTGAAGATATCCAAAGCAACTCAATTGACACCTACATTATAAATAGCATATTATTGTGACACTATCATATGAAATAATACAACATATTATCCTGAATGTACGGCAATTAAACAACTCCTAATCTACATAAGTTTTGATTTATTGCTACATCTGTATTTTAGAGAAGTGTGTGGATGAACCAAAATAAAAATGCAAAGAATTGGTGTAAATGAACATCAAAGTGAGTATTTGAACCACTAATTGGTGCGTATAAATCATTTAGGTTGAACATTACAATAGCCCAAACTCAAATGGGACTAGAAAAATTTGACATCAAAGCTTTTGACAATAGCACATTTGTACTAAAATAAGGATTCAAGCACCCATAAAAATTCTAACTGAGAAATCTCAACAGTCTCCACAATTGCAAGCATTTTGGGCTGAAAACCACATAGCAACTAACATTCAAGACAATATTTATGAAAAATTAGCCAAAAAATACAGCAAATATTTGTGGCCATTTTAAAACTCCTCATTTTGACTTCAATCAAAATTCTAAAAAAAAATACCAACTAATCAAAATGAAGAACTCGTGTGCAATCCAGGGAAGTATAGTATCTGAAAAGATGACGATCATAAAGAACTAGAGAGATGGCTAAGATCCATGTATATTTGTTCATCAGTTTAAACAAAGAAAGCAATGACAAAATAAAACTCCAAAGAACCAACAAAACAACGTGTAAGAAACCAGTGAGTATTTGTTCCATTGCATTGAGTAAAGCAAAAGGATGCAAGTAGAGCAGAAAAAACGAGCAAAATAGAGGGTCAACGAAAGAGATTAGTGAGTAGCTGTTCTTAGACTAGAGAAGCGGCAAACAAAAGGTAGCAGAAATGAAAGAAGGTTATGATGAAGCTAGCCGTAAACCACCTAGCAACCAACATCCAATACGATCTTTATGAACGGCTAGCATAGCAAGCATTTGGGGCCATTTTAAAACTCCTCATTTTGAATTCAATCAAAATTCTAAAAGAAAAATTTATCAACTAATATAAGCTAGCTGAATACCAAGAAAAAATGCTTTCGTTTTTCACAAGAATGGAATCATATAAGAGCTTCTACGAACAACTCCTCACATAGATCTATTGGCTATACACTCATCAAATTCCCAAATCACTTAGATCAACCAACAAAGATGCAAGAAAAACACTCCATTTTCAAGAAAAGCAAAGCTAAATGTAATGCTAAAACAATCATCAAATGTCGCATGGGAAACAAAGCTAAAAGCCACCTGGAGCGAATAATCGAAGGCAGAAGTAGTGATGGGGAAGAGGAGTGCACAGAGCTTAGGCCGACATCGATTGTAGAAAGCCCTAATTTTTATCATGCCCTAATTTATTTCATGCAAGATGCCTTGGATATTATCGGTTAGGAGAGTAGTTTCACGAATTCAGCGAGGACAGCACCGTCTTTTTTGCCATTGTGTTGAGGAACGCAGCGCTTGCCCTCTGTTGGTAAAACGAAGTTTCGCTGATGTGATTTTTGGAAACACTGTGCCCCAAAAGCCTCTCTTGTGGCTTTTTAAAACGGAAAGCACTTGAAAACCCAACCCAAACACACCCTAAGTCTGAAATTCTTGTATAAGAGGCTTGTAGATTCTTTTGTATTCAGTTTCATCTTTTCCTCCTGCCCTCTTCTAACTGGTTTTCATGGAGTTTCTAAATACGTTTTGAGGTATGTAAAAGAACAATTCCATGGCATACAAAAACTTTCTTATTTAGTATTTGAATTACATTATTCCTCATCTATTACAGGTTTTTCATTGCTACAATATAGTTTCTTCACCATGCAAGTATTTCAATCTTTTGTGTCACTTCATTATTTTTAACTTCTTGTTATTAATTTATATTAAAAAAACTTATTATTTCCACCTGAATTGGATTTAATTGTTCTGTTTTCATCAATAGTAGTAAATATTTACTTTGATATTTATGTTAGATTCTACATTACAAAACCTACAATTATATTACAAATCGTAGACGCTAGAGCGTTTTAGATTGAGGGGGAGTATTATTAAATTACAATTAAAAAGACCTTTCATAAAGCAAAAGCTTATATTGTCTTCGTTGATTATACATCTACTTATGGGCTATGCGCATCCCAATTTTTTACCAATGCTTTCTCCGTTCACAACATAGATGAAAATGTATAGGCAGAAGAGAGCAATGACGTATAAGACAAGTTATGAAAGTGCAAAGCGAAAACCTATATCCATTTCTGCTTATATTTCATTCTTGCGCACTATATTGAACTGACGCATTTTTTTTATTTCGTTTATGACCCTAAAACGAAAAAAAATTTTTGGGTAATAAGATCGATGACTTCAGTAATATTCATCAACTTGTACATGACTTATGGTTTATAAGACATTATTATGAGACTAGCTCATATCACATTTTCTTTAATTGGTATGCCAACATAAACTGTACTTAGTGCAATGTTTGTTAACTGCCATCTAATCTCAAATTTCAGGACATGCTGCTTCTTAGCTTATGTTCTAAAAAAAATTTCCCCTCCATATCCAGGTATAGAGCAGTGACAAGCGCATACTACCGAGGTGCTGTCGGTGCTCTGCTGGTCTACGACATTACCAAACGCCAGAGCTTTGATCACATACCACGATGGTTGGAGGAGCTACGGAGCCATGCTGACAAAAACATTGTTATCATGCTTGTCGGCAACAAATCCGACCTGGAGGATCAGAGGGCCGTGTCAACCGAGGATGCTAAGGACTTTGCTCAGAAGGAAGGCCTCTTCTTCTTAGAGACTTCAGCCCTGGAAGCCACCAATGTTGAGGCTGCTTTCATGACTGTTCTTACCGAGATATTCGGCATTGTCAGCAAGCGAAACCTGACTGCTGATGGGCAATCAAACGGTGGTGCTGCTCCGCCGTTAGCGGGGAAGAAAATTGCCGTCACTGGTCCTGCGCAGGTGATTCCCAAGAGCAGGACTTGCTGCCAGTCTTCCTGATTCTATCACTGAGTATGTCATCCGCTTCAGTATACATCTGTGTTTTATTTAAGCCATATTTTGATTGTATTTTTCTTTACTTAAATATTTAGTTTTGTCAGAGTTTAAGGCTTAAAGCAATATCTACCTGACTTCTGGAAGATATAGTAATTGGTTGTCTATTGATCTGTACAATACACCTTTTTCGCTGCCATTTGTGTTGGCGTTCATTGTTTTGGTGTCTCTGCATTTATTTATGTAATTGGTATCATATTTATGTGAGCTAGAATTTTTATTTACCTCATTTGATCATGGCCGCCAATTTTATCATCTAGTACTGTGTTAAATTGGCTCACGATTTGGCTCAAAGTGTCGTATGTGGCTTAGCATTTTTTTGAACATTTTTGTAATTTTTTTGTTTATTTTTAATTTTTAATTTGATGCAATCCCTAATGTAATTTACCACGGCTATTCTATATATTATTATTAAAACTAAAACAAAAATACACATCTAGTTTCACATATATGCTCCGTTTACAGAGCCTTGCTCATCGTCCATGTTAGTGTTTGTTGCCGGAACCCTGTTAATCTCTTCAGCGCCACTAGTCTCTTTCTGTCGCTCACAATCCTTATAATTGGAGTAGGAATATATTCCTCAAATTGATATTGGAATTAATAAGCCTGTGAGTAGCTTAGCTCAAATGAAGGTCCAACCAACTGATTTTGATCTTACTTCGAGTTCAATTTGTATCAACTTAGAGTGAACCTTTTAACTCCTGTCTCCGACAGTTAACAATAAAGTGTTTTTTATTTATTTATTATTATTTTTAATAAATGAATTTATATGCACAAGAAATGAAATTGTAGTATGTCATAATGCAATAAATCATATCACCACACTCCAACAGCCAAATGCTAAATCAACCAAAATCAAAACTATTAAGAAAGAATTGGGGGATTTACAAACATACAACACAATTCTTATGTATTTACATCTCTAAAACCTAAATTTTCATATTTAGGCACATAATTCCTTAATCTTTAGAATCGTCACAACAAAAATATAACTACTTATTTTCAACAACAAAGTACACCTTTCTATGCACAAGTTCAAGACCACAAAATGTTATAAATGTAAATATCAAACTTTAAGTAATAGATATGTAAATACAAAGGAATTATGTGGTATGTTATACTATGCATATCAAAATATCATATTAATCAAATAATTATGATAATTCTGATAAAAATTCTAATATATCTCAGCATCACCACACAGAACTGCATATAGGTGAAATTGATTAAATTTTCACCACTATAAGAACCATTTGATGTTCGGTTCCCTGAAACGTTGCAATATTTGATGGTAAGAAAATTGATCGATATTATAGGGTTAAATTTCAATTAAATTATGCCATGAACCAAGCTTGTACACATAAGAAATTACTCAACTTTGAATTCGAATTTAAACGAACAACACAAAGCAGGTTTCGGACTGTTCACAATGAAAAGAAAACAATTGTAGAATGCCTGATAAATATTAAATAACCCCATCAAGCATGTCAAGCTAGCGCAGGCACAATTGCTGTGAATGTCTGTATTTGGGGTTCTAAAAGAAAGTTCACTCAAAACATTTTAAAACTAGGGTTTCTTTATGCCATTAGACCACCAAAAACTTAACTCAAGCAGCGACAGAGGGCTTTGATGCAGCAGAAAGCTTCGACCTGCGCTTGGCCAAACTCTCACTCCTGCGTTCTCTCTGCTCCTTCAGCCTCGAAGCAAGAAGCTTTTGGTACTCAGCCGCCTCCGCCTTCGCCTTCACAATCCTCTTCTTCTTCTCCGCAATCCTATGACGCTTCCTCTGCAGGGTGAGCGGAGTAACTAGTCTCTGAATCTTGGGTGCCTTGCTACGCTTCTTCCCTGCATTGAAATGGACAGGTTGAGAACAGGAGGAACAAGAAAGATCTAGAACGAAGTCGAAATCAAGGTTATGAGTCAACACGCTCACCAGATTTGCTGGTGAAAGTGCGACGATATGTGTTGACATATTTGCGGACATCGTCCTCCTTGGAGAGGTTGAAAAGCTTGCGGATCTTAGAGGCCCTCTTTGGTCCTCTCATCCGAGGTTTCTCAACGTCAGTCAAGCCAGGAAGATCATTTTCGCCTTTCTTCACAATCACAAGGTTCAGAACTGAGAGATCGGGGCTGACAATACAGCCGCGAACGGACTTCCTCCGTCGTTCTCCATTGCGCCTTCCATATCCTCGAAAACAAGGAGTTCCTTTTGTTTTTGGGAACAAAAAACAAGTTTAAAAGCATTTGAATTCAGCATGAAGTTCGGAGGGAAAAATGAGCAAAATTTAAACCAAAGGCACATTTACCTCTGCTAAGCAACAAGCGAACTCGTCCGGGAGTCAGCACTCCCTGCTTCATGGGAAACCCCTGCTTGTCACATCCTCCCATGATCTTAAAGACGTAACCTTTGAATTCCTGTAACAAAACAACAAGCTCACGTATAAATGGATCCTAATACATACATCTTAACAAAAATATTTTTTTGAGATAATTTAAAAGAAAGGGCTTTTACAATTTTACATACAAGCAACACAATTCTTATGTATTTAAATAACTAGCACATTGATTCATATTTACATGCACGTGACTTTAATGACTCTAATACTTAAAATCACATAAAAAATAACACCATCGCTAGCTTTCAAAAAGTGAAATACACATTTTCAAGGATACGTTTATGACAAAAAGCTGTTATAAGTGTTGATATCAAATTTTAGGTTAGATATGTAAAAACATACTAATTGTGTGGTATGTATGTAAATTTTCCAGGGAAAAAAAAAGTGTAGGATAAAACAACATATACAACTTGACATACCTCCCCAAGAGCATCTCCACTGACTTCCTGTGAGATTCTCTTGTCATAGAATGCTCGGCTGCATAATGAACAAGGCATTACAACAACAACAAGCCTTTATCCCACTAAGTGGGAAAAAGCCAAGCATTATTACAACAAAAAATGACAGGCTGATAATATAGGAATTCTCAAAAATAAATCAAATAGATAAATATGCCAACCGTAGAGAAAAGCCAATATCTTTCTAAATGCCTCACCCTCCTTCTCTACCCAATCTCTATCCGAAAATATACAATTAGCTTTGGTAAAACCCAACAGTTCTTAAGGTATTGATAGTAATGTGTCACCTTAACAGCATTTATCTAAGTTGGATCTTTGGGATTCTTATTTACTTCACACAGTCTCAACAAATTCATTGTGCTGATTAATTTATTTTAATCAATGTAGATAAATTCTATTTTTTGTTGAATTTCTCATGCAACATGTGAAAAGGAAGTAATATGAACCATTTAAAACACATAGGCGATTAGAATATTAGGCGCTTGGGCGTCTAGAATCGAATCCCATCCTGACACTAGCATCCAAATCAACTGATACTCAAGATTTTTTACCAAGCTCAGCACCTAAGCACCAGATCAGTAACCAAAGTCCCAATTTCACAATTTTTAGAAGTTTCATCCGTATAAAAAATCACAGTTGGCGCTCAAACACTCAAACTAAGCGGTTGAGTTAGCATTAGCCCAATTTTTTGCAATTTTAGGAGCTACAAATTATAAATTTTGAAGGAAACATTAGAAAAAATAATGTAGTATTAATAGAACAAAATTAGAAATTGGGGGTCTTTTGGTAGCTATTTTCGGGGAGACTGAGATAAGAAAAGAACAACAAAGACAATGGAGTGAATTAAAGCAAGAGAGCGTGACACAATTTTTCTTTCCCAATCCATTTATTTATTTAGTTATGTATTCAAGTATGTATTCATCTGTTTTATTTTATTTTCGGATGAGCTAAAGTCCTTTTCTGAGGATTAAATATAGTCAAACAATATATTGCTGGTTTAATGGTGATTTGATCAATTAAACTTTTATATTTAATTGTCGTTGTGAATCTAAAATCATGTGATTGATTCGCCAACAATTATAAAAATTTGAAGGCTTGCTTGGAATTAAGAGGTGAAGATTACTCATCTTGGTTGGAATAGAACGACGGATCATAGAAAAGAAATGTCTATGTTAAAATATGTAATTGTCAAAATTCCTTATGCTAGAAGACTAAAATTTGTTGACATTGAATTCATCTCAAAAAAGAAGAAGATAGATTGTATCAACATGTTAGAGAAGATATTGTAGAGAGAATGGTGGGGTGCATAGTAGGATATGCTTAGAATAACTTTATTTGTATCAATTGATATACATGTTAGCTTAACAACAAACTAATTCAGATTAAAGGGTTGTTTGGGGCAGTTTATTTAGTGCGGTGGCGTTTTGAAAACGCACCTGGACTGTTTGGATAAATTACGTTTTGACAGCTTATGCGTTTTGAAAACGTTGAAAGCAGCGTTTTCACACCGCACCTATCTAAGTGCGGTGACAGCTTTCTGGCAGCGGTCTGACTTTAAAAAAAAAAAAAAAAAAAAATATGATAGTCACGGCACCTAGCTTATCAACAGATTATTTAATAAGTTACAGCTGTCTCAAACAGACCCTAAATCCAATCACTAGATCATTAACCTCTAATTTACAGCCTTCATGATTTTTGTCTCTCATAGTTTTCTTTTCTTTTCTTTCTTTTTTTTTTTTGCATACGATAACCCCATAGTAATGTCCATTTAAATAAAGTCGAAAACAACCCAATTTTAATAATTGATGATCTGGGCCTTATGGATTGATTTCATATTCATCACTTTAGTATTTGTGCATTTGTTTACTCTTATGTATACATTTATCCTCCTCAAATCTTTACATGGACTATAATAACTAATATCGAAACAAAGTTGATTTTTTATTTTAATTGAAGTTGTCGTCAATTTCTAATTTTTATTTTATTTTATTAACAAGGATTATTTATAATGTAATGACAAGCTAATGATATGGGCCTCGTGGAATGATTTCATATTCATCACTTTAGTATTTGTGCATTCGTGTGCTCTTATGTGTACATTTATCCATCCCAAATTTTTTACATCGTTTACATAGACTATAATAACTAATAGTGATACAAAGTTGATTTTGATTTTAAATGAATTTGTCCTCAAATTTCTAATTTTTATTTTATTTTATTAATAAGAGGTTGTTCATAGTATAATGACAGGTCACCATTATTGTTTGATCCAAAAATTGATACAACTCTATTGTGTGGTTGAATAGTAAGCTATTAGCAAATGCTATGACAAATCCCAAGACTGTCATGTGCCTCACCATGGGGTCTGGGTGGGTGTTGTGAAATTACACATTGACGATAGCTCAGAGCATTCATCATTTTATCAACACATGTTCCAAAATTTACCTTATGTATCTCCGTGTTATTCTGATATCACATATCATTTTAAATGCAATACTCCATTTTAACTACAATTTCCTAAATCTAGCAAACACATCCTCATACATTTCATAGCTTTTAATACATCATAAATCCAATATACTTAAGCTTGTTACAATAAAGTGACTCCTAGTAAAATTAATTAACAATCATAAATATCACAATCGCGACCATTAAAATTGGACATTATTTACTCGATCTTTGATATACTAAATTTAAATGTTTTATCTTCTAACAACTCCTTCATTTGCTCTTAACTTTCACTTGTTAAGATATAATTCTATCCAACAAGAAAATATTATTTGCAAAATAAAAACACGATAGTATCATTTTTAAAAAGCATAGGTAAACATTTTCGCAAATAGCATAAAAACTTCATCAATCTAAGATGTAATATCTCAATGCTTAGTAGCTCTTTTGAAACTCTAAAACTACTATTGGCCAAAGCTTCATCATACATGACCTTTGAGACATCTCTTTTCTTGAAGTGCAACCAAATCAAGTGTTGTAGTACTTGTACATATGCCCCCTTAAGATCAACATAAATTATATGAACATCCAATCTTTTCCCTTCGCACATTATGGGGCAATTACATACAGACCAAACTTGCTATTTACATATCAATCACCTCCTTTCATTCATTTTTCAAATTCTCAGTCAAATATGAAAATTCATGGTAAAACACCAACCCCAATTTTTCATTTTTTATCAAATTCTCAACGGTTTGATCTTTGCAAACGTACTATATCAGTTTGGAAGTTCAAAAAAATCGCCTAGGTGGTTAATTTGTAAATATCAATGTTTAAGATGGTCTGTGTGTACTTATCCCTATTATTTACCTCCAATCTGTTCTTTTGATGTCAATTTTTTTAGTGCACGTTTTATTACTAAATCACAAAAATTCACAGGAACATTTCAGAAGTACGAAACCCTTCATTATTACCACAAACATCAAAAGTATGATCTGGGCAGCAAAATTCTGCCTAACAAGACATTTTATGCCAGTGTTTAATCCTTACTGGTACAAGTAAAAGTGCAATACTAACGAATAGACCGGCTGCAAAAATCAGGCAACGGATGAACCAAATATTTCTACAAAATAAATAAGGCAACAAGTTCATCAATGATTAGAACAAAACCAGTGAAAGAAAAGAAAATTAGTACTCCAGATAAAATCCATGTAACCCATAACGTGGTGAAACATTTTGAATGCAAAATAGCGTCACTGATCAAAAGATAAATAAAATGAAATTCAGATCAGCTTAGGAAGAGAAAAAAATGTAATGCAAGAAAAAAATCAACGGCGGTTCAATGCATATGCCAATTAACTACAGATTAAACGATTTCTCGAGAAGGGTTTACAGCTTTTGATCGTCGTCGATCTCAAGTTTCTTCTGGCACCCAGTGGTTGGATTTGCAATGTTGAACTGCCATTAATGATATAAGAAAGTCATAAACAGCACAAGATGTCAGGAAGAAATGAAAAGCAAAAAGCTAATCGAAAATTTATAGTCTCTGAATAAAATTTCATGATACCTTCATATTGGATCGAGAGTACAAAGCCGATTTATGGAGTCCGGGAAAAGAAAGAAGCCGCTGCTCCTGGAACTGCTTCTGCGGTTATCTTGTGCGGCCTAGGGTTTTGAGAGGAAACAAATATCATGAGGAGACAGCGAGAGACGTCAGATTAGTTAGAACCAGAACCGTCAGATCTGGCCTTGGCATTAAGCGGGTGTTTTCACATGGGCTTTGGATGGGCTGTAAATGCAGGCCATTTTAGAAAACTATTTCTAGCTATCATTAATCATTATCATTTTACTTGAGGAATTATTTTATTGATGTTTTAAAAGGGCTTAAAATATGATGATTTTAAGATAATTATTCTTAAAATTTTAAAAGGGCTTCTCAAAGGTGAAATTATATTATGGCTTGGACTTGAATACTTTAAATTAAATGAAAGGAGTCATTCGCTAGAAAAAAATTTCTAATAGTAATAAAAAGAGTGATTGCTCCTTTTATATTCAAAAATCAACAGTCAAATTATTTAACCAGTGTTTCTCCCTAATCATATTTAAGAAAAAAGAATATATAGTGGAAAAAGATATTAATATAATTTTCAGTGTTAATCAAAATTCTCTTAATGTTATCACGGATTCACTAATCCCAACATTGATAACAAGTTAATCCAAATGAAAGATCTAAGTCGCTTCAATATTAGAATCATTAAATGTGTTGGAACAGTCAACACATGGCTTATTTGATGTTGGTTCTTATAAGATAATGAGAACTTAGGAGGATAATAATGATTCTTAAATAATGGTTTCAATCTATATGACAAATTGAAGATTGTCTTACTATTTCCTTGACTATTATTTATTTTTCATACTACTGCGAAATTTGATTAAGATGGCTCAAGTACGTTGATTTGAATGAATTTTTAGAGAAAATTGTTACAACTTGATCGGATATAACCTACATTTTATATTAAATCATATTAAGTCAGGCATGTGGTAAAAAATTCCCCAATATTTATTTGGAAAGAATTTCTCATATTTTCTAAATTAAATTACACATAGCCATTAATTCATCGAAAATAATATTAAAAGAGCTAAGAACCATAATTAAATTATACATATACACATACACCAAAATCTATTTATATTCAAAGTTTTCAATCAACTTTAACCAAATTCAATTTCCATGATCACAAAAGAATAAACCCAATATCATAAAATGTACCTCTATTGGTAAAAACTATATTCTTACTCCATTAAGTCCTTACTCTTCCTTAAAAATATATGAATGTAACATGAGTTAGCAACAATTCAATAAGTTACACAAAATCTATAATCGGAATCAACGTAAAATAATTAAATAATATGTATAATTGAGTCGTGAATAAATTTCACATATATTAATAGATAAATATGTGTCACTAAATTGGAGTAGATATATTATGTGAAATATAAATTATAATAAATAAATAAAGTAATTTATCACAATAATAGTAGTTTATACATGTTATTACTAATAAATGAATATATGTGCCACTAAATAAGAGTATATATAATATGTGAAATATAAGTTATAATCAATAAATAAAGTATTTTATCACTATAATAGTAGTTTGTACAACTTATTCATCAAGTGTAATATTTATCATCACACAAATAGTATGAAAATCACATGCTTTAGCTAAACTTATGTTGTGTTTTTTTTCTTGTACCAATCAGACTAAATTAAATACACTATCATATTATATTATATCAACGAAAATAATCATATGAATAGTATATGAGAGCCATCACTTGTGGCATATTAACACTTATAATATTAGATTCACCCCTTATAGCTCCAAAGTTGCATAGTTTCACACCAATTCATTTGAAGGGAACCCCATTAACCCACCCATGTGTAAAGGGTTTCTTATATATACCAACTTGAATTAATATAGTTGGCATTTCTCATGTATGCATATTTCAAAAGAATTATAATATATTTAATAAGTTATATCATGTTAAGAATCTGTCTCATCCTATCAATTATAGTAGATATGTAAGTTAAGATATAGATCAAAACAGAAGGTTCCACATGATGCAAAAGTTAAGATATAGATCACACTTTAGGAAATGTTTGCATAACTCAAACTAAGAATTATGACTAAAAAATAAGAATATATAAAATTCAACATAATTATATCAATATATGTATAAGAATTAGGGTAACTAAGTACTAAAAATTTTTCAACAATCCTGTAAGACAAAATCGGACCGAAGACTTCCAAGTCCTAACTTTTTTTTTTCTCTATTCCTCACTTTCTCTCTTTTATCCTTAATCTCTTTCAGTGGTTGGGAATAAATGAAAGCAAGTTTGAGGGAATAGTTTGAATACGTTTACTTGTATATATAAAAATAAAGTAAGGGTATACTTATAATAATACCAATTCTTTAGTTATAATTATAAAATTTTTAAAAAATATTTTTATATCTTAAAATTTAGAGCTTGAAAAGTTAAACAAAAAATAGTCATAATTTTTTTTTTTTTTTTGTTTAAGATGTTCTCATGCAAATAGTTCAAAAACGGATGTTAATTGGCTCCAAAAATTATTTTTTGTCTATGATGGAAGTAGTGGTCGGCAACGACCAGTGGTTGGCGGCGACATGTGGTGAAGATGTGTGGCGGTCAACAGGCGGCAATCGACAATGATCTACAAGTATGGAGGCTGATGATTACTCATTCGGTCTTCTCTAGAACAGGTTTTAGAATTTTACTTCCTATTCTCTTCTCTTGAATTAGAGAAAATAAAATTATGAAGTTGATGATCACATATGTGCAATAGTTGTTTAGCTATAATAATCAAAACTAGGCTATAAGAAACGTGGTCTTGATTATTATAGTAGTAGTTGACAGATGTCTTAGCTGGTTGTTATAAAATTAATAGTTGATCGTAAAGACTATAGTAGGTGGTTGCAATAGTGACAGCTGGCCACAGAGACCATTACTTAAAGTTATAGCAATAGTAATTGATCACAAAAATCATAGTTGGTTACTGCAAAGATAATAATTGCTTACAAATGCAAGAGTCGGTGAATGCAATAGCGGTAATTGGTCATAGAAGTTTGTCGGCACTATTTTTGGTGTGGGGTTTGCTCATAAGAAGCTGTCGGTCATCGGAATTGAAATCCCGTTGCCCGCTTCGGAAGGACGTTTT